GCCCCCTTACCCTTCTCGTTACCTCAATGATCTAATCTGAATTATTACAGATAAAAAGAATATTCATTGAAACAGCGAGAAGCATTCATGTTGCCCAGAAAGCGAGAGGGGAAATATCCCTACAGATTTTCCCTATGGAGGTACCTTTTTTACCGGGACCTTTTTTTCCGGGACCTTTTTTTCCAGGGACCCTTTTTTCCGTACCTTTTTTTCCAGGTACCTTTTTTTCCGGGACCTTTTTTTCCGTACCTTTATTTCCGGGACCTTTTTTTCCGTCTACCCTCTAAAATAGGGGCCTATTCTCAAGATTCGCCAGACGTGAGTAAGGAAAACAAAAATAACCTGAAAAAAAATAGTAAAGTATCTTAAGAAAAAAAAAGGAAAATAAAAGTGAAAAACAAAATTAGAAAAATCGCGGTAGCCGAGAGTGAAACAGAGAATGAATGCGTTACTAGTCCTACCTGGGCTACACCGGACAATAATTAAATATAACGAAAATAAATTTTCAAATTAAAAATTATTTATTAGTATTTCATAATAACTCTAATACATATAGAATGGGTATAAGTACTTACCATCATTATTTCCAATAGTATAACTTACCATACTTTCAGTTTTAAACATTTACTCACGCGCCTCTGAATACACTAAACTATATTTCTTTTCTTGAGGAGAGCCTTGCACTCATACGGTTAACCCCTGTACATTTCAGAGCAGTTCAATCTGAAGTGCACATATGTTGCCCATTCATCAATGTCGACAACGAATTGTTCACTTCCTTGAATAACCACACCTTACTAACTCTCAAACGAATAGTTTCTTATCTACCTTTTCTATTGCTGCATTCCAAAACAACAATACCTGCTTACTTGTAAAATCACATTCATTCTGTTTTCTTTTTGAAAATTAAACACGAGAAAAATAGTGAAATAATTAAATTAATAAATCATGGAAATCAAAAAAATCAACTTTGAATAAAAAATTAAAAATCCTTTCAAAGTGAAAGTTCATTTAATTTAAATTAATTACTTACTATTGAATTTGATTTTAATATATTTTATTTAATGAGTATAAGTATTTGTATTTGACTGTATAATTTATTATTTAATCTTAAATAGAAGAAATTAATAATAGCTATCAAAACTAGTTAATTGAAAAACTATTTGCAATACGTAGAATGAAACTAATCAGCTTATAATTTGGCATTTGATTACATATAAAAATTCAAGTAATATTTTTATAGAAGCCAAATTTGTCAGTAAAAAGGCGAATAAAGAAATGCAAGAATGGAAGGGAAAAGAACGAAAAAGAACAGGATGAAATATCCAATGAATAATTTTGCTTTATTTAATATATTTTAACCGTATTAAAGACAGAGATATCATAATTATTGTTTAAATTCAATAATAAATGATAAATAACGTTTAATGTTAGTTACTTATCAGGATTATTCTAATATAATTATTGAATTTGAATTTATTAATATTACATAATAGAAATTTTTTTCCATTTGAATTAATGCGTGAATCATTTATAATTTAATGTTAACTATTAATTTCAGAATTTTTCTACTTGAAGTTTTGTCCTGTCGAAGTTATGTACACGTGAATATGTGCTCTCGCAAAGTTTTGTCGGAGAAGGTTAGACAGTAAAAGTCTGACCCATTACCTTTACCTCAATTAGCGAACCTGAATTATTTATATTAAATTAGCGACAAAAATTTTCCTGCTGCAGAGAATCTTCAACACCTTTATATATATANTTACTGTGAATGACCGAAATCGGTGATTGTTGACTTTCACCGGTGAATGTTGACAATCACACAGTTGCTTTGGTGAATGTTCCGAAATATTCATTACATCCGATTTGATTTGATATTAATTTATTCGTGGACATTTATTCGATATTTTAATTGTACTTTCTGACGATAGATTAGAAGAAACATCAGTGTTTGGAGTTTCGGGCAAATGTATACCGAGCAATGATACTTGACCTTAAAAAAAACATCAGTGTAGGGTATACCGGGCAAATGTATACCAGGCAGTGGCACTTAACTAGACCTAGTACGACTAGACCTTTGGTAAATATCCGAAATATATACCAGATCTAGTTAAGTGCCACTGCCCGGTATATCCTACTCTGATGTTTTTTTAAGGTTCAGTGCCATTGCCCGGTATACATTTGCCCGGTATATCTTACACTGATGGTTTTTTAAGGTTCAGTGCCACTGCCCAGTATATCCTANCTTTGGTAAATATCCGAAATTTATACCAGGTCTAGTTAAGTGCCACTGCCCGGTATATCCTACACTGATGGTTTTTTAAGGTTCAGTGCCACTGCCCGGTATATCCTACACTGATATTTTTTTAAGGTCAATTATCATTGCCCGGTATATATTTGCCCGTATATATCAGATTGAAAAGAGAAATCAGACACATTCAATATTTTTTTTATTGACTGCATACCGGATTGAGGGTATACTGTAAGCTCTGAAAATATGATCTTTAGCTTGAAGCTAAATTATTAGAATTGTAATTGAATTACGAAGCCCGATTTTAGATTTTTCAACTATATTTTTAAAATTAGAGACATTTAAAAAATGGAATTTTCGCATTGGCTTAGCGGAAATTGTTTTAAACTAAAGTATAGGCAATTCAGTTTAGTCAGATATTTTAAAGACAACATCAGTGATATTTGACAGATTATTCTCCATCTATCCTGAAAAAAAAAAAAAAAAAAAAAAAAAAAAAAAAAAAAATGTCTTGAGGGCCTCTTCCGACGTCATAACATTAAAGAGTCTATTTCTTTTTTTGACGCTCTGGATTTGTTTGTATATACTTGGAATACTTAATCTCTCTTAATTTAATTTTTGTGCCGTGATTTTGTGAAAAAATGTGTTCTTCATATTTTAAAATATCATATAAAGATATACAAAAAAGTACTTTAGGAATTAGATGCGGATTTACGCAATTTGGTTTACACCAGCCGAAATTCTTATACCTGAATCTGAAACCGGAAGTTGAAACAACCTCTACAAATACTGCCCCCTACCGTGAGAAACATGAAACGCGGTCGAGAGAGAATAAGGTGAATAGCTCTACTCAAAAAAAGTTATTTATTGCTCGTTTTGTAATGTTAATTATTTTCAGTCGCTATGCCAGGTTATTTGAAAAATCAACGTGAACTGGACAGCATAGGCGGAGTAAGTCATCGAATTTGAATTTCTACTCTTATCTGAAATAACGTGTTTATTTTGTTTATTGTTATGCTTTTAAAGCGCATTACTATAAAAAATAATTAGTTTAAAATCGACGGTAATTTAAATAAAAAAAATAAGAATCCCACTGAAAAGCAAAATTAACGGAGAAATGGAACTAATTCACTGAGAATAAATATAAAGAAACATCAATATTATTTATGATATCAATGATTATTAATTTTGATAATAGTTACTAATTGAAGTGAAATAATAAGATGCGTCCTAAAAGGAAAATTATTGGAAAAAGGATTTATTAAAAGAGAGGAAAAAAGGACAAGCTATTATTGATGTAATGATGCTTAATTAATTTTAGCAATAGGTACTAATTAAAATAAAAAATAAGTTATGAACTAAAAAACAAAATATGTATTTATTCATTGCGGAGAACGGTAAGAAATCGCTATTCTATTGACATCAATGATGCTTAATTTTGGTTATAGGCACTACTGGCATCATTGGTAATTGGGGCAGTTTTAGTATGTACTAAATATTCATAAGTAAGAATTTTATGAGTAAATTTGGTATCGATTACTACTGTACCAATATTGTACGTTTTTATGATAGATTTTTTGCTTCCCCTGTTTAAGATTTTAAGTCATTAACGTATGTATATTTAACAGAAGCGCCAATGTACTCTTAAATTTATTGCGATCAATTGCAGAATGCCATAATTTTAAAAGAAAAGTATAAGTATGCGAATTTTAATTGCATAATAAAAATACTACTACTAAACTTTTTTTCAGCGAGAACTGATACTTGAAGTAAACACTAAAATTAGCTATTTGTCTCCAACATTACCTACTTTTGTCGATTCCTGCCAGAATCGACAATTCTTTCTTTACAAACTTTGTTCAGTTTAAAGCTGTCTATCATAACCTTAGTGTTATTCAACTAAAAACTAAAACCAATGCCAAGTGTTCGATGGTTTTATTTACTTTTGCCATTAGTTTACACTGTATCGAGTATAGAAATAGTATTTTTATTATGAAATTAATATTTTCACAATGTTGCATTCTTCTTCTATTGTACTATTGTACTGTTCCATGTTCTATTGTACGATGCCATCGATCGAAAGGAACATTGCAGTGCAACATATATTGCAATTAGAATAAGAAGTCAGACAAACTAGACCCGTTTTAAGATTTAGGCTTAAAGCACATGGGAGATAAATTCGTTATTAAGGATACGTGAAGTCACCAATTGTGCTGCACATTTTGGAATCTTGGGCATAAATTAGATTGTAATAATGTAAAAATTATTTCCACCCCAGTCACATCAGCTCATCTTGATGACCTGAAATCTTGTTTTATTCATATGAATGCTGATTCCGTTGTTAACGACATTAGTTCCTTCCCACCATAGTACGCGGAAATGCATTTTACCTCGATCAGCCCCTCTGGGACACTGTGGTTTTTCTTGTTCTGTCTTTCATCTCTTTTTCTCTCAGGGCTACTGTGGTTTTTTTACTTTTGTTTCTTATCTTTAATTTCTATTTTTCGTTGCAACTTTACATTGTATATTTCAAGTCGCTTTTGTTTCTTCTCATTCACGTCTGACAAGTCTTGAAAATGAGCGCCTGTTTTTGAAACTCTTCAAACATGTTGACTGTTATTATTTTTTCTGTGTATTTTTGAAGCTAACTAAATTTTTAATTAGGTAATAATTATTCATGCCTGCTAAGTCAATTTTGGCCTATCTTTAGCCAGTGCCCTCTAGGCTCGTTATGAAATGGCGCAAATTGTCAACTCAAAAAGAAAAGCCACAGTTTTGTGGAAATAAAAAGCGTTTTTTTTTTTTTTTTTTTTTTTTTTTTTAAGTATTTAAAAAGCAAATTATTTGAGGTCATAAAATTTTGTGAAAAGTGAGAATTATTTATTGATTTCGCTAATTTTCCTCTAAGTCAAAACATTTCTCGAAATTTTCCTTGTAGTAAGAACTCCGAAAAAGTCTGCCAAAGATTTTATGAGGAAATCACTACCAAATTGAATAAACGCAATAATTAAATTTTGAAAACACGTAACTTCTTCGTTTCATCGTGTAATTTCTTTTTTTTTTTCATTGGCATTTTATTTAAAAAATTCCTGAAAGTAACCGAAATGTTAAATAATGAATTATTGGTTAGATTCAAATGTCTAATTTTTTTCCTTCTCCCACCTAAAATATAAAAATTTTCAAATTTTCAATAGATTAGTTCAGGCGGCCAAAGAAATATCATTAGTAGATGAGTTTCAAAGTGCTTAGGAAAAATAAAGAAACGCTGTATTGTAAAACAAAAACGGAAGTATGTAAAAAGTACAAAAATATTGGGAAGTCCCAAAAACAATTGTGTTGGAAGGCGAAAGGACACTAAAATTTAACCAAATATTCATCTTACATTTCTAGAGTAATTTTTAGGTATTTAAATTTGTAGCATGATTTCAAATCTATTGATATCGTTTTATTCAATTAAATGAGAATATCTAAATAGTTGTTCTTTTACGCTGATTTTAAACACAATGACATTAAATTGAGAACACTTTTGAAATCGTGCCTAAAAAGAAAAGTTTAATAACAATAATAATTGAAAAATCATATATATAACATTTTTAGATCATATTAATTGACAATATAAATCCTTCTATTAATTTTGCAGCAGTCTTATAATCACAAACTTTGCGCAGTTGCTCTAGTAAAAGAAACAGTATCAAACACAGTATATATCTTAATAGGATGGATATAAGTGATCCATGGTCAAGCGCGTTTTGAATTCCCTTTGATGCCGAAGACGAGGTTCCTTCATGACATACTCTTTTGGGAGTTCGTCTTCCGAGTATTTCCTGTCCGAAACGTAAACATTTCGAAGTCTACAGTTAGCATAAATCTGCAAGCCAAGAAGCTCCCTGTAATCGCTGCCATAAGTCAGTTTAGTTAACAGCCGCAAATCCACTACAATTTTGTTCCAACTCACATCGAGCTGCAATGGCAGGTGGCAAAGTAGCGAATTCAGCAACATGTTCTTACTCCTAGACGTGCTGACTCGATATCGGCGTTTCATATTTTTGCTGTCTTTCAGCTGAAATTCAAAACAAAATGGCAGATTCAAGTACTCCATTATAATACTGAGCACAGACAAGGTGCAGCCTAACTTCAGCCGAGTGTCTTCCGGGGCAGCGATGTATGTTTGGCAAAACGATTCCGAGGTAATATCTAAAACCAAACCTTCTATGTCTGGGGAGCGAACCCGCTGGATGGACCCATTCCCTGGTGTGATAGACCAGAATTTCAGTGGTTCACTGCCATGGCTTGAAAATAACGTCACCACTCCCCTCTGCAGAGTGTTTCGAAGTGTTGTTGATCTCTTCAGTGGAACATGTTTTCTCTTTCTCCATTCTAAGTGCGTTGAACAATAAATGTGTGCCATTTTATCAACATTAAACGCATCAAAAAAACGAATTTATCATGTATCCTAAATAAATATTTGGATTTGACGATTGTTGTCTTTTAAATATCACATATGGCTGTTGTATTTTTAAATCACACGCTGGGCAATATTTTAGATAAGTAACTGAAGCTGACCACTATTTTCGCATGACCTATAAAGTTAACAAAGACGAGATTATTGGAGATTTCCTCACCAATCATGATGCATTTTAATAATATATATGGAAACTGAAAAAAATTTCTGTTGATTTCGCTGTTAAATTGTGATAAGATTTGTGATTAAAAAACAGAGAATGTATTAAAAATATTTCGTGAATTTGTAAAATATATTTTTTACCTACTTAGAGATAGGAATGAAATCATATTTAGTGTGAGTTAACAATAATTCCAAGTGTGCTATAATGCTTGTCAAATAAATTTTATACTTACAAATAGCCTTTACTGTAGCTCAAAAAACATAAGAGTTTCCCAAATTAGAAGTAGACAACTTTGCTCAGAAATACATTAGTGATGGCAGGGTCATCTTTGTGACGATTTTGAATGATGTCTATAAAGTAAATGATAAACATTTGATATTTTGTGTAGATAATTTGTTTGATATGTAGTCTGCCCGGTAGTTTTATACTAGTAAAACAACTGTAAATACTTTACCATTAATTAATCCATAAAAACTGATTTAAATAAATATATTAATAATGACATCTTATTAAAAATAGCATACATTAATAAACATAAAAAAAGGAAATATCTTTCATCTGACAATCTGTTTAACTTCAAGATACCAAAATGATTGAGAAGTAATAGTGGGGGTCTTTTATTGCCCCAAGCAACAAATATTGATTATAAGACAATTGAATGTACCAAATTGTCATTTTTTAGTAGATATCATTCAAAATCGTCGAAAAACATTTAAAAAAAGCACATAAAATTTTCAGAGGCTACCATTTTGAACGTCAGCCATTATTGTTATGGTCTAAACCTAGATGGCCTGCATTCAAAATTAAAACTTCTTATATGTGGTATTAAGTTTTATGCTTCAATCATGAAATACGCGATTCTTTTATCTACTTGCATTACTATATTACACATGTTCACCTTTTACTTGGGCAACCTTTATAATTGGCTATATATTCTCATTAACACAAACTTATACAAAATATGCAAGTCGTACAAACGAATCAAAGATAAAAAAAAAATCTTTTAAAAAGATGTGTTCAATAATTTTTGATGAATAAAATTCTAAGATCGGGACATTCTTAAATTGTTTTTAGTTGTTATTTTCTGGGGGCTATACTATGGATGATGTTTACAAATGTAAACAACAACCATCTCGCTCTCTTAACCTGCTTTACTTCCGGTTTTAAAATATACAACTGCTTACTACAGCTTATTTTTCGAGGTGATATTTTCAAACATTTACTCTTTTGTTTTTAATAAAAGAAATAAATTACAGAATTTCTGAGATCATACCTGTAGTATTTCATAAGATATTAATGGTACTAAGCAATTCTGGGAAGTTTAAAGAGAAAATTTGTTTTCGTTATTTATAGATGCATCGTTAGAAGAGGTGACATGGTTGCTAGATTAAGAAAGAACTCGATTTTTTGGCTGTTCCGATTTGGCCATTTTTTATTTGTTTATCACTGTTTATTCTTGTTGCAAGCCGTGCACCGTCACACGCATATATGGCAGTACTTTTACTTTCGTTACTTGTACCGCCGGAACAAGTAAAAAGTACGTACTTTTACTTGTACTTCGTTACTTTTTAAATTTAGTACTTTTACTTGTACTTTCGTTACTTTTTTAGGGAAAAAGTACCAGTATATGTAACGGAAATGTCCAATGAAATTGTTACTTTTTTCTAAAACTCGGTAAGCTTTCTAAAAACAAAAAAGATTAAATTAAAAATAAATGCTTATGTTTTTTTTAATTTATAAAATTAATGTGCAATATATATATGTATTCACTGCTAACTTCGTGTTTAAATACCTTGACCTTTGAAAATTGTCACTCCTGAAAGGGAAAAGACGGCTCTTTTAAACTGCGAAAGGTTTCGCGATGTGAAATCGCACTACGATTTATTGTTTGCTGCAGGTCTGGTA